TCAAAGGTCATAAAACTAGGCTTACATAGGGGTGACGTTTTTGTCAAACAAAAGTTACCTCAAGCCGCCCGTGTGACCTGATTTAAAACGTGCGGTACAAATTTCCCCGGTTTACCCAAAGGTAAAATTGTTCCGTTTCCACATTTGCTTTTTCGCCTTTTTCGAGTTTTTACTACACTGTTTCTGTCGGTTAAAGGTAGGGTGGTGCTGCCTTTCATGGATTTCCATTTCCTTTTTTTCTTTTCTTTTACCAAAGAAACAATCATTTCTTTGGTCTGGGCACAAAGTGAGTCTAAGAATTTTAACTTGATTTAAAGGTTATGCATCAAAAAAGCAATGGATGATTTTGTACACAAATGCCTATTTTCAAAAAGAAAAAATATGGTCGTCTTTATTCTTTATCTTTTCCCTTTTGAAAGCTAAATGAGTAATAAATTTAATGTAATTTTTAAGTTAATAAAAATAAGAAAAAAAATTAGTTTAAGTTTAAACACAGCATTTTTTACTACAATCAAATCTTAAAATTTTGAATTATTAGATAAGAGTAATTATAACAAAATTGTTTATTTTAGTATGACGTATAATTTTTTTTTTTTTTGTAATTTAGATATTAAAATTATACAAATGCTCTTAATAAAATTATCATTCACATTTATAAATTAAGGGGTTTTTTATTCTGTGCTTTTAGCACACAGGATAATGATGAATTTTTTGTATCTTTTTATCATTAATCATGTATTAATTTATATAAAAAAATTAACATTAATTTTAATATATATGATACATAAATATTTTTTATTAGATAATTAATAAAATTAACATCATATTTTAGTTTTATTATATATATTAATTAATAATAAAATATCTAATAAATGTGCCCTTATCCTATGCCTTTAAAAAAACCCATTTATTAATAACAATTTAATAATTTTACATCTGAAATATTAGATTCCTACCACTTCCTTCAAAGTTCAAACTCAACCTATCCTAAAAAACACCTCACCTTATATCAATCTCCCCTTCATTTACAACCTTCTGTTTCTCTTCCCTCCCCCTCACTATTATTTTCCACAAACTAAACCTACCCCGAAAAACATTTCACCTTATATCAATCTAAATATTACGTGTTGATGGAGATATGTTCTTTTTCCATTAAAAGATTTAAGTACAGTTTTCTTCATTTAATTATGTTGATTTTGTTTCCCCAAATTTCGGAGAAATCAAATTTA